TAGCTGGCTCTGTCTAAGTTATTCTTTGGTATATCCTACTCTCCAGCTAGCTTTTTACTCTGTATATACATTTAGTTATTTCTTCTTAATTTATATTTGTTAACTATTTAGATTTTTATTGTTTCCTCTTAATCTTTCATATTTTATATTTATCTTTGTATTTTTGTTAAAAATATTTTTATTTCTGTCTTAATATTTTCAATACCTTGTCTTACATATTTTATTATTTTTGTTATTTTTTGTCATTATGATCTACTTTTCTGTTTGCTTTGTAATAACAGATGTTTGGCACCCCATTGTCTATTTCATATTCTTATTAGATTTTTCTTTCATATTATTTTTATTATTCTACTTGTTTCTGTTATTTTGTTATAATTTAATTGATTTCTTTTGTTTAATTACCTTTACATTTGTTATATTTACTTTTTAGAATACTTGTCAACATCTGTTAATTTTTGTTTAATTTTTGTTAATTTTTGTTAATTTTTGTTATTTTAATTTTGTTATTTTATTTTCTTATTTCTTTTTTCTATGTATTACTTTATAATTAAGTTCTTCTCTTTTAATATGTTTTCTGTTTACGAAATATTAATTGTACCAAGCGCTTGAGGGGAATTATTCCCAGAGCGCAATACAAATAAAGCTAAATCAATCAATCAATCAATCAATCTCTTTCATCACCGGGGGAATCGTTCTCGCAGACGATTTCGAACGCATTGACATTAGAGAGTACGTTCACTCGATTACCATGCGCGTGTACGCGGGTTATTATCCGCTTCGGTGGAAATTTTCAGCGTTTGGCGCTGTAATTACCGGAACATGGCGGATATGATAACGTCGATAGTGCATCACGGTATATTATCAAGAGCGTTACGACGCGTTACGACTCATGCATATAGCTGGGTCTAATCATCCTCGGTCATATTGAATCCGCGAATAATATCTACGTGCGCGCGCGAATCGTCGCGAGTCATATCGATTGAGATATTTGACCTCAATCGTACGATTGTTATCTTGTTATTTCAGATTTTCTTCTAAAAAAAGAAATAGATAACAATAGAAATTTTGTTATAGTTATCTCACATTCGCGCGTGTAACGTGTAAGTTACTCGCGGACGAATTCGCGGCTTGCATTTACATTTCGTAATACGTTATGAGAGCGAATTTAACTTCAGTGTATCGCCATTATTATTGTTCTCCGACGCCACGACGCCTTTTGGGAGAGACTATCTACCCGCGTAAATATGTATATATTCTAATGCATGCGCAATTGGGTACATGCACACACTTGGCAAGAACTTTGAGTGCCATCTTTCCATCCTCGACCTCGTTAGCGACTACTAAAACCCCCAGTGCCTACCCGACTTTGCCCGTCTTTTTCAAACTTCCGAACGATATCTTCGAAACGACACTTTGCAATCTTTTGTGCTTTTCTCTTCCCTTTCCTCGTTTTATTATTATTATTATTTTTTTTTTTGGACTGGGAACTTTCCGAGCGTTATAATAAAATTTCCACAATAATAATAATTATTTAAAATCCAAGTTGCGCTAACGTCACTTCTTGGTAATAAAAATAAAATTTGAAACACTTGTGTACAATATTAAAGCGAGATAATATTGTTTTTTTTGTTACAATAAAAAACGCTCCTTATGTTTTATAGAACAAGAGTTTCTTGTTTTTTTTCAAGTTACTTTCCATTCGTCGGTTCCTTTCTTCTTTTTTTTTAACGAACTTCGTATGAGACTTGAAAACTTTTTGAAGAACTTCTCGAGGGAGTTAGCTAGATGCACTGACTTCGAACTTCCTTTCAATATTAGAACTTAGCTCTCTTCTCGTCCTTTTCCCGGATGAGAACTTTTTATTATCCGGTAAATATCATCATTTGAAATGCAATAGTGTATACAAAAAAAGAGAGAAAAAACTTGCAGAGAGTCTCCCGGATTTTCTGACGAACGTCGGCGGTTGACGCGCGCGTGATTGATTTTCCTGTTTATATTGTTTCAGGAAAACGACACGATACGCTTTCGGGTCACTCTGGAGGACGAGGTGCCGGCGGGGCAGCAGCCAAACATCGTCGGCGTGGACGCGTACGTGATCGTGCTGGATGAGAACGACAATCCGCCGCACTTTCTCGGAGTTCCGTACGAGGCCGTCGCCGAGGAAGATACCCCAGTGGGTTCCACGATACTAGCGGGCATCAAGGTCGTGGATCCCGACCTGCTGGGCGACATCATAGATCTCACGTGTGTCCCGCAGCCACAGGTGAGTCGTTAATACGCGTTAACTCGCGAGAGATAATCATATCATTTTCACACGGTTTCGCATCTGGCGCTTTCTTGCGAGTGGTTTTTCCGCGATGGAAAATTTCACCCTGTGGCTTTTACGTCTCTCACAGAGACTCAAGATCCGTTGTCTTCGCCAATTCGTTCAATAACGTTATCCCGAGAACAGCACAAAACTCGGTTATTCTCGCGACTTAATATCTCTTGTAACGCGCGTTACAAGAAAAATGCGAGGTTTTTTCTTTTTATTTAATCTTTCTTTTCTCTCGCTAACTTTACAACGGTGATGAAGTAAAAGCGTAATGGAGTCTGGCGTGGCGGATATCTCCTCGCACGGATTTGTACTAATTTCTCCATTTGCTCCTATTTCAAACGCACACCTCGGTTTTGCTAGTTCTTTTTTAATTTATTTATTTAAAAAAGATTTGTTAATCTTAAAATCTAATCTAAACAACAATATGTGCAAGCTTGGCAAATAAGTTAATCCTATCATTGGATTGGACGGACTATCATTTACTAGACAAGTTCCTCTACTTATAAAAATATCGTCAAATTCTTTTAATTATCTAAATATTTACTTTTTTAATTTATAAATCCTAATAAATAGAGTATCTAATCCTAGTGATTTAAAGGAAATTACAATTAAACGTTCAAGATCTTCTCCATTTCTTTTAACTGTTATTAATTAAACTGCACATTCTCTCTTCCCGTCATAAAGAAGATGACAATGCAGATATTATAACGATAGCTTTTTTTGTCGAGCTATCTATCTCTCGTAACTAAGCTTACAATTTGTCGATAACGGGAATAAAGGGATTATCAGAATATCGATCGCGCGCGCGCGCACGAAATATTTTTCGAGGGTTGCGAGAGACTGTAGCAACGGGAAAAGCAATTAAATAAAAACGACGAGGTCTCATTCGCGATATTGTACCACCCGCGCGGAAGAAAGCAGATAATAAACAGGCTGTAAAGGAACGAGGAGTCTGTCTTTTCCGCTCAAAGACTTTATTAAGAAGTCGTCGGTGTGCCGTCTCTCAGCTTCTTTAGGATGCGACGCGAGGGTTTAGACCGCGTCGCGTTGGAATACACAGCCCCGCTGTGAGGCGGATAAAAGATGTACAAGCACCGGTATTTCACATAAAATGAAGTATTCGTCCCGGATGAGGCGTTTCTCTCTTGTTTCGCGAGGCGAGGCGGAATATCGGCGCCGGGACCGGGCTTTGTAATTCGCAGTTTTCCATTAAGTCATCCCGCGCTTCCTGTAATAAACCAAGCGAGCGAGAGAGAGAGAAACAAGGACCGGGGGAAAGCAGCTCGCAACTCCGTCTCGCAACGCCGAGCAGCACGCCCGAGGGAGCCAAGGACTCGTCGACGACGACAACGACGACGACGATGGCGGCGGTCACTGCTGCTTGCTCCTCGTAAAGAGTCGGACTTCCGCAATCATTGCTGCGCAGCTCCCGGATGTTAACCCCCGTGGAAAACGCGTAACCTGTTTCGCATGGACAAGCGCGCGCGCGTACTGGGGCGCGTTCGCAAATCGAATCTTTTCGATGTGTAAACGAAAATTTTATTATCCTCGCCCGCGCAAGCAGGGAAATTTCAGTTTATCGACGTAACGAGTTTATGGTTTTGTACGTATCGTCATTTCGATCCACTTTGGATCTGATTAAAAGTTGCGGCTTTCCCCCGATTGTGTTTTTTCATTTCTTTGCAAGATGTTAGTATTTTACTTCATCCGTGCTTATTTTGAATAGAATTAAAACAATTTTCAAGAGACGAAAAATTATTTCAAACTCGAAATATATATGTATATATCAGAAATGCAAGCACCTAAGGGGCAAAGTTTTGTTTGGATGGAGCATCTCGTATAATGTTTTCATTCGAATCGTCATCGCCGCACGAGTCTATGGAATTTCGGTCACGTCCGAAAATCGTATTTACGATAAGTTGTAGTATGTTACCGCGGAAAATTGCTGTTGAAAACTGCTATCCGTTCGGGAACCCGATCGATGTAACGCGCAATCACTTATGCGATACGCGCCGTTCGTTTCGCATCGGCAAAAGGGACTCCACGAATACGCCTCGAGAATTCGGTCGACGGGAAAAACGACGTTCGCGTATCGCACGGACGTTTTTTTCTCTCTCCCAGCGAGAAAAGTCCAATTCGTATATCATCTCGCAGCCCGTGAAAATTATCTCTGCGGCCTCCGACGTTTCTTTCTCTCTCTCTCTCTCTCCCGCTCTCTTTATCTTCCTATCGCATCTTTTTCGGGAAAAGACGAGTGGCCCCGGGATATTAGTACATATAAAGCGCACTGCCCACCCTACGTCATATTCGCTCGATAAATTCCGGTAGGGCTGTTAGCCGTGACCAATAAAACCGTAAAACCTTTTAACTAATGGCCCGGCGGCATTGCAGCGGCGAACTTTAATGCTCCGCGCACTTACCGCGCGCGGAATTCACCGCTGCTGCCGTAACTAGTCGGAAGCAACGCGCGCGATCGCACCTAGTCATTAAATATAACTAATGTTTACAACGTCTCGGGATTTTGGCACGCGAATCATCCGTTCGAACATTTGGTAATGCCCTGTGAATGTGTCCGGGTCGTCGTCGCAGCTTCGATCGCGGTTGACAACAACGCTAATTAAGAGATGCTCGTTGACAAACAGGTGGACGGTTTGCCGCAAATTAATTATAAATTGGAGACACGTTTGTTTTTCCATTTTCGAAATTCGAATGCAAATTGAATTGTATTCTCGAATATAGGTATGTATTTTCATCGTTCGAAACAACGCGAAATTTTAATTTGTAATTTCACAATAACAAAATGATGTGCGCGCATAATTTAAACGAAGCGAATTTATGAATTCGCGCGCGCGTGCGAAAACTTCCCATCGCACACGAGTTTGAGAATTTTTGAACAAACGGATAATTTTTTTTTTTTTTTTGTTACAGTTCCAGGACGCGTGCGAAAAGTTCGGCATCGTCAACGTCGAGAAGAGCCAGAACACGTACGTGGGCGCGTTGGTGCTGCGGCAGCCCCTCGACTACCGGGAGAGACCTTTCTATCAGCTGCTGCTGCGAGCGAGCGTAAGTATCTTATAACCCTTCGAGGGAAACTCTCGAGAATTGACTGTAATTTATGTATGTGTCCGCGGCTACGGAGACTGGTCACTCCGATGAGCTGTGTGTGCTGCTCTCTCGCAACGCGATGACGGCCCCGAACAAATCTATTCATAACCAGATGCGTGTATACGTGACATCCGAGATTGCGGTCGAATTCAGGATACAAATTTACAAGCTCGGGCGTGGAGACGCGCGAAGACGGGGCAGATATTGTACATAAATATAGATGATACACGAAACTTTTTGAACATAAGCATGAAAGTGCATCGAGTTAGTCGGAACATGAAAAACAATTTGGCAAAAAAATTTGCAATTTATTAAGATATAAAATAAATCAAAATATTATAAAATTCTGATTCTTTATACTCTTAGTGGCACGAAAACATAAAAACCTACAACTCATATTCCACGATCTGATGAAATTAACTCAATTTCTTAAATTAACAAAAATATATTTAGTAATATCAAGTGATTTTACATATACCTCTTTAACAATATATTAATCATATGAGATACTAATTAAAATATATAAACATTTTGATAAGACTCATTGAACGTTATGAGGATACGTCGCGCGCATCATCTTTTCCGCGCGTTACTCACGTTCCAGTTTTGCGAACGGATCGTAGTTGTTGATTTTTTTTTGTATCCAATTTTTTCGGACAAAAACAGCGTAATTCTAGAGCCGTCCAGGCTCTCCGCTTTGTTGCGCACAAGTGAGAGAGAGAGAGAAGCAAAACACGTGGTATTATTTAAAATAAAAGCGCACCGGGGCGAGAGCGCAAAGAACACTATCGAGTTTACGTGGTTTCAAAAAGGGGTGTTTGTTGATAAAAAGCCAGACACGGTATGTTCGGGTGGAAACCGGAAACCTTAGTTACCCCCCGGTTTACCCTTTGATTTCGATCGTCATTGTTGAGATATAAAAACGAAATATGTGTAGCAACACGCGCGGAAAACTTTTCAGGCTCACGTTTCACGCGTTTTTAAAGCAAAGAGAAAAAAAAATCATAAACCGCCTTCTCGCGTGATTCATTGTCAGTGCGCGTTTTCACACACATACACACACACACACACACGCAAGTTATATCATAAACCCCGCGCTATCGCGCGGTAAACATATCTCGTTTATGCTTATTAGATCTTATATGTATTCGCGTGTGATGGATGCGACTATTTTCCGCTTGGTTCATCGAGATTCCGCGCGGTATTTCTCTCTTTTTTTTTCTCTTCTTGTGCAACGCCCGAGGTATATTGCGCGAATTTGAAGAAAATCGGGTAGAAATTTGTTTGCCGGAGAAACGCAACGGGTGGGAAAAAAATCTTACAAAACAACAAACAAATATAATGCCTTCAATGACCATAAACAATTCTAAGATGCCACTTTGCGTCACATATACATGAATTGTCCATTTAACTCCCTAATGAAATTTAAAAAATTGAATTGTGAAAAAATATCTGATCAGGGGAATCGATTCCCAATCTCTCGTATTCCAGTTGTCCAATTCTAAATATATATTAATTTACACGTTAAAAATATATACAGTAAGAATTACTTTAGTAATTTCGAACATTACAATTTCGATTTCTTTTTTTATGAGATTTCTTATGAGAATAGGTTCTCTTACTAATGATGTTTTCGTCCGATCTCGAGCGAGTGCAAATCGTAGAACGCGCGTTTGGCTGCGTTCCGATACTCGCTGCCAACACTAAAAAAATCTATACCTCACGTCACGTGTGCTATAGATTTCTAGTCCTGGCAGTAGATGTCGAAACGCAGCCTCTATTTCCACTCTAAGAGAAAGAGAAACATATTTTTTGTCTCTTGTTATCAGTCGATCGCTGACTAAAAGGGGAAGAAAATAATTTCGAATTCTAGACAGAATCGGTCCTGTGCGCTCGAAATTGCTGGAGTTCCACTGCATTTCGCACGTATACATCCAGCGTGTGGTTCTAAAATCTCATTTCTTGCAAAACAGTTGCAACACGTCGAAAAGAGAAACTCGACGATCGATCAAAGAATTGCGGAAAGAAGATTCCGCGACGAAAACAATCAAATTGCATAAAACTCGCGTAATTCTTACTTAATAAGCGCGGGAGAGACGCGCGGGATATAGCGAAGATTAATTAATCAACGTCTGGGTGTACTTACGTGTGCGCGAGATCGTGCATAAAGAGATAATTGCAGAGTCACTCGCGACACTCTTTGGCGCGCTCGTAACGGCGAAAGCGCACGAGAGAGAGAGAGAGAGAGTCTCTTTCTCGGCGAGCACGCCGGAGATTGATTTTAATTACACGTTCTCTCTCCGGAAGCGACGAAAACGTCGTCCTCTCTAAGAAGATGGTTTCGCTCGCGATAGCGCGTGTAATTATAGCGGGGGCGGCGATGAAAAGCGGCAGAACACGGACGAGGCGAAGGCCTCGAGGCCTTTGCGCGTTATAAATCGGTCGAATAAAGCGCGCGGTCGAGTTAATTTTACGCTTCTTTTATTTTTCACGAGACTCGCCGTCCGCAAATGCGAGTTACTTCTAATCGGCTCGCGGATTAAAGTGATCTCGAATTTGTTGCGGTACAGAAGACAAATTTGTTGAATCGTGTTGTCTTATCTCGTTCCGACAATTTTTTTTCTACCAAAAAATAGTTTTTACGAAATATTTTTTTCTGACGCATCGTCAGAAAAATTTATTGCGAAAAAAATAGCTGTCGAACGGTAAAATTTGCAGTCGGGCAGTCGGAAATTAACCTAACACGAGACGCAACAAAAGCGGAGATCGCGCAAATGGGTGGAGTAGAATTACAACTCGTGTCGTAAAAGCGGAAACTGCGCGACATTAATCCCACGACCAGACGGCAACCTGAAATGTGCGAAATTTTGTTGCGGCAGGACGGCCTGAACAATGAAACCACCGGCGTGGAGATCAAGGTGGCGGACATTCAGAACAGTCCGCCGGAATTTCTGGACTCGCTAACAGGTGTAGTATTCGAGGACGATCCCATCGGGACCCTTGTGATGATCGTAAAGGCTCGAGACGGCGACCGGGGTATGCCGCGGAAGATGATGTACGAACTGGTTACCAGTGAGTCTGCCGTTTATAACTGAATCATATTCGCCATAAAACTAATCTCTTCGCAGATTCTGTGAAATTTTAACTAATTTCGTGTATAAAATATATATATAAAATTTACATATATTATTTTTTTAATTTTTGGTCCTTATATAGTGAGAACTGTGTTTGAACTTCAGAATTTTGAATATAAAGATAATCAGACTGACAGCAAAGATAATTAGAGTGACGGTAATGAGTCTTTATTAACACGACGTCGAATGCGTCGCATTTTCAGATCCGTTTGATTATTTTCTGCTGGACGACGACACGGGGGAGTTGAGGACGGCGAAGCCGCTGGACAGAGAGGCGCTGGAGAACTCGACGGGCGTGCTCACGCTGATTGTGAAAGCTCGCGAATTAATCGACGGCATGCCCGGCAACGACAAGCTGACGGTATCGACGGCCAAGGCGACGGTGACGATTAAGGACGTCAACGACGAGCCGCCCACGTTTAATCGACGCGAGTACAACATCGAGATCCCGGAAAACGTGCCGGACGGCACGCCGTTGCCGCATCTGGACATGACGGTGAAAGACCCGGACGTGGTGAGTTTTCTCCGAGATTCGATCGGTAGATAAAAAAAAAAAAAAAAAAAACTTGTGCGTTTTGTTTTTCAAATGTCTCTCTCTTTCTCTCTCTCTTTCGATCGAGCAAAATGCAAATTGCACATATTGTCGATAATTGGACGCAAATTCGACAATTAATGTCAAAATGTCGAAAACCCCGAGAGAAATTTACAGAAACTTAAACGCGATAAACGCTTGTTAATTCAATATTTATGTTAATGCATTCGGGTTTTTTTATCAAGCTCGCGGGATATCGCGCGCGGAATGACGACGCTCGTCGGAAAAACGTCAAAGCGCGTTTTAATTCGGTCCGCTTGTTAAAATGTTCGCGCGTTAACGTATAGCGAACGAACCGCGTCGGGTGTAAATATAATTCATGACGTATTTTATGAAATCTTGTTTTCGAAACAATCATTATTGACCGCTGTAAAATGCCGCCTGTGCTACCGTAGTTTGTCGAAAGAAAGAAAGTGAGAGATTGCGCTTCGCTCGCACGCCGAAAAAGAATCACGACATCGATTCGTGTGTTTGTGTGCAAAAAGGGTCTCAACTCCGTATTTTCTCTGCGACTGGAAGACATAACGGGCGCGTTCACGGTGGAACCGGTGCTGGCGACCGGCAGCACGTCCGTGAACATTCGCGTTACCAACGGCTCGCTCGACTACGAAAACCCCAATCAACGAAAATTCATTATCCTGGTAAGGCACAATTGAAATTAAAAATTTCTCTCTCAAAGGGCAGGTTAAGTTGATTTGTTTCCGAACAACGAATATCACTTGATGCAAGTTCGAACTATTGTAATTGCACATTTGATTCTAAAACTCGCTCGCGCGATGACGAGAAATACGCGATTATCGTTACCAGGTCGTCGCCGAGGAGGTGCACACGAATCCGAAACTGTCGTCAACGGCGACGGTAACGATCGCCATCACGGATGCAAACGATAATGCCCCATCGTTCGGGAGCCCCACGTACACAGCCTCGATATCCGAGACGGCGGCTCCGGAGAGCCCAATTATAACGATCACAGCGAAGGATCGCGACAGCGGCCGGTAAGCGTTCGTTAGCTCGGCTTTAGCTTTGTGCCGCACCAAGTAATTTGAAAACGCGATCCTCCCCCCGTTCTCTCGTCTCACGTCTCACGGGTTTCTGTGTTATACACAGCTTTGGCACCGCCGGCATAGTCTATCAATTACTCGGTCAGGGCGCCGAGCATTTTGCGATCGACAAGAAAACCGGAACCATCACGGTCGCGCCCTGCCAGACGCTCGGCACGTCCCCGTGTCTAGATTACGAGCAACAGACCGAATACTTCCTCACCTACAAGGTAACCGATCTCACTTTTTTGTACATATATATATGTACACACAGCTATAATTGCAAGCATGTCTCGTGAGAGAAAAACTTGCATTAATTAAAAAACTAATATTTTTGATACACTTTATAAAACAAACATCCTCTATATATAGTCTTCCTATATAGTATATTATTTTGTATATATTATATATTGTACAATATATATTATATATTATTTATTACTTTTTGAATTCAATTTAACGCACGTACATCCATTGTGTGGCTCAATCTTAATACTTAGTTGTACATTATTTTATATTTACATTTATACATATATTTTTATATATTTTATTTATATTTATATTTTTTTATATATACAACGTGTTTTTATTTTCAATATCTTTATCCCGAAGAAAACTTGATCTTTTTAGGCGACGGACGACAATGGGAAAGGACAAACTACGAGCGTTTCGTTGCGCATCAGCCTGATAGACGCGAACGACAGTCCGCCGCGTTTTCTGCAGGACAAGTACCGCGCCGTGGTTGACGAGGGGGCCGAGAAATTCGAGCCCGAGCTGAAGGTGCAGGCGCGCGATAAGGACAAAACGTCCAAGATCACGTACGCTCTGGTGGGAGGTAACGAGCTCGGGCTGTTCGCCGTCGATGCGGACACCGGCGAGATTACTATCAAGAGCCCGGTCGACATGACCAACGCCACCCATGACTGGATCGGTCTTACGATACAGGCGAGCGACGGCACATTCGTGGATTCCGCGCTTGTTAACATCACCGTGCGCGACGTTAACAACAACGCGCCCGTGTTCCCGCACGACATTTACACGGCCAGTATCGCGGAGATATCGCCGATCGGTAAGTATCTGGATCACGCTTTAACGACGACGATATCGCATCACTCCCTTGCGCGCAATTGCGAGTAATCTCGCAAATCTTCAATCTAGGTCGTCGGATATACGACGAGAGGATATTTTTATTTTTAACGCGCGATCGCGGCAATTGCTCGCGCAAGAGAGTCCATCGTTTTCGCATTTCATTGTCATTGTCGTTAATCAAATGATTGATGGTAGTATAGCGAGCGTTTGTCTGATTTTGATAGGAACTGTCGTGGAAGAAGTGACCGCGACGGACGCGGACAGCGGAGTGAACGCAGAGCTAGTCTATCGAATACAGAAGGGAGCCTTTGACGACTTCGCTATCAACGAGACCACCGGCGTCGTCACGGTGTCTCGAAAGTTGGATTACGACGAGAAAAACACTTATCACGTGGAAATCATTGCGTTCGACAAAGGTGAGAACTCGATCCGTTTCTTGAGAAAAGAAAGATTTATCGTGAAAAGCGTTCTCTTGTGAGAAATAGAAGAGACTGTTTTGATTCCTATGTTACGTGCGCAACGTGTGTTTATCTCATTCCTCAGGAACTCCGAGTCTGACCGGAACAACGACGCTGATGATCCAAGTCGAGAACAGCAACGACAAGGCTCCGTACTTCACGCCCGAAACCCAACGGGCTGAGGTTACCGAGGACACGCCGATTGGCACGGTTTTCGCAACATTGAAAGCGACCGATCCGGACAGCACGAATCTCGAAGCTTTGAATTTCGCCATTTCCGAACCAATCACCGCTATTGATAGAAACGGTCAACGCGTAAACGACAGCAAATCTTTCAAAGTACGAGAGAAGATATATTTGATTTGAAACTTTTTCCTCGTTTCGAAAATTGTTCGATCTTTTTTTATTTTTTTATTTTTTTCTAAAAGATCAAAGTTTGTAAATTGAACTTGTTCGCCGAACAGGATTTCTTCGCCGTTGATCGCGCCACCGGTCAAGTTTCCGTCGTTCGTGCCCTGGACCGAGACGTGGCGGCCACGGTAAGCGTCACGATCGTCGTCAGCGACACGACGGCGCCCACTTTGCAGCAAGGACGAGGTAAATAAAATACTTTTACAGAAAATGCAATTGCCATTATTGACACAAATTGTGCAATTTCTCGCCCCCCAGGTAAGCTGGTAGTCACTATTATCGACGTGAACCACATGGCGCCGGAATTTTTGAAGCCGTGGACCCGAGAAAATCCCCGATATCTGATAGAGATGCAGGAAGAGCAACCCACCGGTGCTGTCGTAGGCGCTTTCACCGCGACGGACGCCGACAGTAACATAGCGGGATACGCCATCGATCCGCCGAGCCCTTACTTCAATATTGATAATATTACCGGTAAGTTATATATATATACAAACACATACACACATACATTTTACGTCAATCTCGCATAAACATGTCCGAAAACTGCAATCGAAAACCAATTTATAATAGTTTTACGTTTTACGAGACAGTGCTTCGTTATCAAAGTTCCCCTCGATACATGGAAAAAGTTCTGCTATTATATGGCCAGCAAAAAAATTGTTGAGTCTACTGAATTTTTTGTTTTATTAACAAAAGGTTTTATTGGCAAAACAAAAATTTTAATAAATATTCCCGAATTTTTATACCGACGTTTTGTAAACATTTCAGTTCACCTCAGGATTTTAAGAGCCTGAGATGCTCTTGGCTAAATGTTTCTTTTTGAAAACCTGAACTTGAGGTGAATCGAAATGTTCACAAAAACGTCGATATGAAAATGACACATGGTTCAAAACCGTCTTCAGGAATTTTTATGACACGCCGCGAAAACATTAAATTCAATGATCTTAGCTAATTTTTCTTGCCGGTCAACTGACTTCTCGCTATTCTAGCAAATTTTTTACTCAAAACTCTTATCTTTTGATAATTTGCCTATCGATCTCCCGCGGTATGAAATAAAAATTGTCTCACTTGCGCAGGAATTGTGCGAACTAGTCAAGTGATCGATTACGAGGAAACGAAGCAATTGGAATTCACAGTCGTTGCTTACGATTCCGGAGTGCCGCAGCTCTCCGCAACCGCGAAAGTTACCGTCACGGTGATCAACGTGAACGATCAGGATCCGAAGTTTGAGAAGGAGTTGTACAACGCGACGGTGAAGGAAAACTCGCCGCCTGGCACGCGCGTTATCGTCGTCAAGGCTACGGACGATGACGAGGGACCTTTCGGTGATGTTAGCTACAGTTTAATTGGCGAACACGCTTCTGACTTCAACATCGGTGAGCCGTCGAAAATCGTGTTCGATTATCTCGCAATAGCTTAAAAGATGATCTTTTTTTTTTACGCGTAATTTTTTCACGCAACTTTTAGGACATGAAACTGGAGAGATCACGGTGGGCGGTGCCACAGTTCTCGACAGAGAGATGACATCGGAAATCACCATAACGGTGATGGCCAGCGACGGCGCTCATGTCAATTCTCGACGAAGCACCACCGTGCCGGTGGTTGTCAAACTAATTGACGTGAACGATAACAGACCGATATTCTCGCAACACAGCTACATAGCGTCCGTCGCTGAGAACCTGTCTGTCAACCCACCGGCTCCTATTTTGCAGGTATTGTCCCCCGAATCTTTCTTTCAATGCCATATACAAAAGATCAACGTGATCATATCGTGTGATATTTTGAAGGTACGAGCTGTGGATCAGGACGAAGGCACCAACGGCGAGGTTTGGTACACAATCGTCAGCGGGAACGAGAACGAGTCGTTTTCTCTGAATCACGAAACTGGCATTCTGTATCCTGCGGCCGCTCTTCTCGGCAGATCCGGTTCCTACAGAATCGAGGTAGAAGCGCGCGACGGCGCCGGAAGCGGTCCGCACTCGGACAAATGTTACGTCGACATAAGAGTCACCCCCGTGAATCAACACAAACCGCAGTTTGTGATGCCGGAACTGACGAACGCAACTGTGGAAGTACCGGAGGTATTTTTTTTTTCTCTAAATTTGAACATAACACGCGTGTTTTGAAAGTTATTAGATCTTGCTCGAAACATCTTCGGGATTTCTAGAACGCAGGCGTCCCGAATTACCTAATATTGACGGTGAAAGCGATCGATAGAGACCCCGGAGAGAACGGTCGCGTCAGCTACCACTTGAAGGTCAACAATAGAAACGTTCAGGAAACCGAGGAATTTTCCATAGATCAAGAAACCGGCGAACTTCGTTCAAAAATCATTCTCGATCGCGAGATCAAGAGCAAGTTTGAGGTAAGATTGTTTTCTATTTTCATTTTCCAATCGAACAATTGAAAATCAATCTTTACGTATTGTTTGTTTTAGCTTGTTCTCGTAGCGGCCGATCACGGCAGTCCCACGGCGTACGAAACTTTGCGCCTATTGACAGTTCAGTTAGTCGACACGAACGATAACGTGCCGCAATTTTTCGAGGAGTACAATTTTCACGTGTCGGAAAATCGACCGAAGGATTACTTCATCGGCAAGGTTACGGCGGAGGACAAAGACGAAGGCAGACACGCGAAGGTTTACTATTACATAGAAGCAGGTAAATACGTTCACAAAATATCTGAAGAGTACGTTTCTCGATAATGAAGTTAAATTGTGAAACTTGAACAGAAAAAATCAGTTGTTCTTTACGCGTTTCGAGTTTTAATAAAAATATAAATATTCTAGAAACCTTAAAAAAAGCTTTGGAAAATTCGAAAAATATACACAAAAACACATTTTCAATCCGTTTAGGAAACGAAGGCTATGCCTTTTACATGGACAAGTCCGACGGCAGCATTTACGCGAACAAGTCGTTCGATCGCGAGATGAGAGACAAGTACGTGCTTTCCATTCTCGCGTCCAACGATCCCGATCTCTACGTTAATCCGACGCAATCCGGCCACCCGTTCAGTCATCCCGAGCACGGGCATGTGAACGTGACTATAACCGTGTTGGACGAGAACGACAATCCGCCGATATTCGAGCGCAACGATTATTACGCCGGTGTGAACTCAATGGCGAACATAAACGACTTCGTGACCAAAGTAACCGCGTCCGACTTGGATGTCGGTGACAACGGCACTCTTCATTATTACGTCGCCAGTGCGAATCTTTACAAATACGGCTCGGAAAAGCCGAGCGGCTCGATAGTGCCAAGTCCGTTTAACGTTACGCAAGACGGCAAGCTCGTTACAAGCGGATACATGGCAGAATACAATCAGGACAGATTTATCGTCGAAGTAATTGCCAAAGAGACCGCCATCCCGGAGAGATTCGCGATGGCCAGAGTTCACGTGAGTGTTTTCTCCTTTCACGAGTTTGCCAACAAGAGTCGATTTGTTTTTATCTACGATGACTAATAGTCAATTAAAATTGTTACCATTATTTTTACTAGTTTTTATCGTAAAACAATCGCTAAAAAGGAAATATTTTTTATTTTTCTTGTTTCCCAAGGTGTGGGTGTTCGAACCGTCTCAGTTAATTCGCGTCATATTATCTCGACCTCCGGAGGAGGTGAACAGCGAGCGCGACGAGATTGTTTCGGAATTGTCGAACGCCACGCAGAGCAGAGTCGTGGTGGACGATATCAGGTACCACGTTGACGCTTCCGGACATATTCGCAGAGAATGGTAATTATTTGTGCGCGCGCAGCAGCGTAACTTTCTTTTTTCTTTATGTGCAATAATTTTCTGAACATTTATTGCACGTTTAATTTTTGATTTCGCAGGTGCGACATGTATCTGCATGTTGTCGAGCCGAAAACCCAAACCATCGCTCCGATTCCCCACGTGCTCAAAGTTATCGACGCGAAATACGATTTCTTGAAACACTACTACACCGGATTTGCCATCGAGAACGTCGTGGTAAGTAAATCTTGTAGTTTATAAAAATAAATAAATAAATCGCACAAAGGAATTGAAAACTCTACTAAGATTGTCGAAATGCAATACTACCGATTGAATTTACAATCAATTGATCTTCCAGCCCGCATACGCCGGGGTCCAAGAAGAGCCATTCGATCCTGCACTCGCCGCTCTAATAGCTCTCTTGGTTGTTCTGATCGTCGGAGCGGTTACCGTGACGGTTGTATGTTGCTGTTTACGCCATTGGTGAGAACCAAAGCTTTTCAATATATATCGTAGAAGTAATGAGAGGTGTGAGACCTTCGATTTTTTTCTTTTCATTATTATTTCGCGCTATTACATAATTTCAATATCCTCAGGGTAATAACTGTGCCAAATGATATACGTAAGAAGGATGGCCTAATTAAGAAGCAAATCATTGACGAGCTGAACACGACGGAGAATCCTCTGTGGATAGAGCAGTGAGTTTTGTCTCGTTTCACTCTTTTACAAAGAATTATACACTCGTACGCGTGTAAATGCAAACACGTTTCTTTTCTTTGATTGAAGAAAACTGAAACTGTACGAGGAGCAAGAGCTGACAATGCAGGTGTTCAGTGAGCCCGAGGGCGGTCTCGGCGGCGAGAGACGAGGCAGCGGTGTAAGTGTCGGCATGGGCGACACGTCCCAGGACAATACTTACGCCACGATACAGCATCCGTTACCCACGAACAGGCATCGTCCAACGACGCCGGACTACACGACGCTCCCGGGAAATCATAATGTACGTCATCAAGCGATGAATAACATTGTAATTGCAAGATATTGCCATTAATTCTCACATTTCTCTCTGGATTTTAACCAAGTTGATTTTTCTTGCTCCTCCTTTGCGCAGTTATACGAATCGGCAATGGGTTTCCAAGGATCAACATTTCAACCTACTCCGAACGTGATGCCGCAACTGACGCTCGATCGCGACGGCCAGCCCCAATTTGTTTCAGGGCTGGTATAAATCTCACCTCTGGACACGCGAGCGTCTCTCCTCAAGCGTCTCTCCTTTCCTCTCCTCTCCACCTGTCCCTCTTTCTATCTCTAAATAAGCTCCGTCGCCGTACGTTGTACCTCTTTGTCCGCGGCTCTGTCTTTTTGTTTTTTTTTTTTTTTATTTACTTGGCACGCGCCTCTTCGAAGCGTACGACTCGAACGACTCGCATGCGCACACCTCTTTGACAATAACCGAGTTGGATATTGGTTTGTCGTGCGAGTAGACGCGTATAGACGAGAGGAGCGAGACACACGTTCCGTTGCAATGTGTGTCCCCCGCTCTCTCTTTCTCTCTCTCTCTCTCTCATCTGTGTGCGATCACGGATTTTTTCGTTCGGACTCTTCCCCGAGAGCTTGCGAAAGACTCAAGAGATGAAGAGTGACGACGAACGACACAGTCAATATTACTAAAGTAAATTAATCCCTGTAGCTGGTGTGTGCATGTATATATGTGTGCGTTGCCAACCTGGGGTCCCGTCTGGACAACTTATATTACCGTTAAATCTACTTTTTAGGGGAATCAAAAAAAAAAAAAAAGAAAAAGAAACAAAAAATAAGAGAAGAAAAAAAACGAAGAAAAGAAAGACGAAGAAGACAAGAATATTAACGTTAGGTAAAAAAATAGAGACTATGAGATAGCTCGACACGACCGAAGCTTGGCACACGACAGATATATGTATATAAGTGAATGTGTAGATTCCGTCCAGCCCAGTTTTTTCGTATTGATTTTTCCTCATTAGTATTTAATATTTATATACGTTTTCTCATCGAGACACGTGTACGTGCGTGCGTTCCCGTTTAGCTGCGAACGCGTAGTTTACAACGATCACTGCCATACCTTTGGCATCGACTCGATGCGATTGTTGCGTGTATCCGGTATATAAATAATATAAAAATAACCAGGTTTTCATTACTGCGCGTTGCACAAGCACGCGCGGTTTTGGATAATCAAGATCCGAGTAATTGACCCGTAAGTTACTTTTCGCTTTTAGTGCGTAATTGTTTATTTAAGGTAACGTTTAAATGTGACTGATGTGTATAATTTTTCTCTTCCCGATATTTTGAACTGTGATTTGAGATTGCGCCCGAGCATGGGGAGTGCAATGATTTTTAAGTAACTTGTAAAATGGTTTTTGCACGAGTTACTCTGGCAATGGGCGGACATTAGTCATATCATAGTTAGATGATGAGTAACGACGTTCGCGGTGAGAATTGTCACCTCGCGGTGAGAGACGACAGCACACAATCGTGAAAAAAAAAAAAAAATCTTTAGAAACGTCACGTCAAATTTCACTACACTTTTTACGGCGGCTCCGCAAAACACCCGTCCCTCGGAATGAGAACAATGGCATGTAAAATTTGTGATCCTCAAAGAGAACTCTCCGTGAACGTCGCTTTACTTGCCGTAAACGGAAAAAAAAGACAAAAAAAAAAAACAAAAAACGTATTGCACTTACTCGATAACACAATAACTTCTAACGATCGAGGTGTTTCTAAGAACATTTATGCTGCAATTCTGACAAGCAATCGTAAGACACTTAACTCGTAGGGCTTGTAAAAACTCGCGGACTGTTTCAATTCTATGCGCGCTTTTGTTTTCTCATATTTGTTCGCAAATACTCCACGATTTCTCGTCGAATTCTTGCGGACGTATGAGAAATCGTCATTGAAGTTGCGGTGCGCGAATTTACACGCGACCGTCAAAATAAGTGTTCAAATGTCAACTCGTCGTAATTATATTGACAAAACGCTGCCGAACGCGGAATTGCGGTTTACAGAAAGAACTGAAAAAACTGCGAAGAAAAAACTATGCTATAACTCAGCTTCTTACGATTGCCCTCGTGAGCGCAACGACTTTACGATTTATTCGCACATTTGCTTGGAATTGCAACATCAATGTGAAACTATTATCGCGCTATCATATTATATACTAGATGGTTATATATATAAATATATATATATATATATATATGAATATTCCAGTTAGCAAAAAAGTATCTGTTTATTAATTACAAATTTATTATGACATTGTAACATATTTTATGTAAGTCATTAATAAAAAATATTCGTACACCAACTCCCACGAGTTATTGTCTGTCTGTGCGTTAGAAAGTTGTTTGAAATAAAGTTTTTGATCTCTACTTTATCGCACCGCTTTCATTTCTCTGACTTTAACACTTTTAATTGCAACTCCAGTTTCTTCAATTCTTCGGAAGTATTTGAAATTTCTTCTCGCCAATCAGATGTTGAAGTGCTTTCAGTTTCCGACTTCTGCGCGTAATCAAGTATCTGAACTATTGCTTCCGGCTGGTCGATCCACAGTTTGTGTCCCCTTTTTGTAGGGAATTTCCTAACGTTCATGCAAGTCAGACACGTCAATCTGACGGTTTTTGATTTTAATCTAACACGAACTGTCTCTCCAGGTATAAGTGGAGCTTGGCAATATTTACAAACTGTTCTCTTTAAATCTGGTTCCCTAAGCAAATAGATTACATTAATTCAAGCTCTTTTCCTTTCTTTCTCTCTTTTCCCTCATCCATAAGTGCAACTTTCTGTTATTTCAGGAATGTAAACGATTGTTCTCCAAACTCACATGCGTAATACTGCTTTCTTGGCACAGCCCAACATGTTGTTACCATAATAAGACGCGGCGACTCGGTTTTTTAATGCCATTATGCGACTAGCCTGCGTTGTCGAACATTTATTTTAGAATTTAAATATTACAATTGATTAGCACAATTGAGGTCAACTAGTGAAAAACAATCTCTCATGCGTGTATTTATACCTGATACAAATAATTCATTCGTTCGAAAGTATCTTTACCGGGACAGAGTTTGTTTTTAGCCTTTTGCGCATTTTTGGTCGCGTTAGATTCCATCGCAAAATACAATCACAGAGGTAACCGACCACTTTGACGATAAAAATAACCTACGGACTGTCTCATTTGTTTACACATCAGAAAGAAACATGAGCGCGGCCATGAGCACGTGTCTCACTCTAGCGCCACAATGTGCGCGTTTTTGTGCACGTAACTACGTAGTCATGTTGCTTCAATTCTGTTCCCGTTGCTATGTGCACGAGTTGTTTGGTTCTATTCCGTACTATGCGCGCGATTTATATATCATATAAAGATAGCAGATATGCTAATGATTTTTTAATCTTTTTTTGCTCATTGGAAATCAATGCGATTGATGTAAACAAACACTACGCATGCAATATAAAAAAAATTGTTCCTTTTAGCTATATACAGTTAATAAAAAAAGTAAGTTCAAGTCTATAATTTACTTTGATAATTGTGCAATACGCATAAAATTTATAAATTTAGAATATTTATTATTTATTATATAAAATGTATTTATATATACAAAATAAATAGTATAGATAAAAGGAGCAAGTGATGAAACGTGATTTTGAGACTCATGTTTGTGCGGTCCCCTCGTTGTCCATCGACGTGTCTTCCTCTGCTCCTGATCCTTCTCGGAAGCGGCCCAGCAGTCTGTGCGTAATCCCACATAGTCACGGCACTTTTTTCACTCGCGAAAACTTCACGCGATATACGCACAACACACACACACGCGTGAATTGAAATTTCACTCAAGTTTAAAGTTCGCACACTTTCAATCAGTATCGATTTTGTTTAAAATATAAGAATACAAAAACTTGGCAAAACGCGAATAATATCCGATAAAAAAAATTATTATACATATATTTGCGACTTGAAACTGTTTTTATAACGGGACGAGTTTCGGTTATTTACACCGCTGCTAGAATGTTTATATTGAGCGCCAGCCACCCATTGCTGCAGCGTCGATCTCTGCAACAGAAATAAAAATTTTTTCCTTATTGTATAGACGCAGGAGAAAAAACAAAAAAACTTGTGAACACATCAAACGTAAACGTTGTTTTCCTATCAAAATGTATACTTTTAAAAGATGAATAAGAATATTAATTAGCGTGTTACCACAGCGAGAGCGCGTGATGCTAATCACACATCAATGGGAACATCCGACGCTCGTGCATTTGCGCGCGAGACGATAACAATTGCGAAAATAAGAATCAAATCGAAAGAAGTTTCTCTCGCGTCGCGCGTCGGCCATTTTGTTCGCGCGCGTCTTCGCGGGAGCGCGAACGCCGGCCGCGAAACTATTACACCGCGAAACTCGCTGATTATTAGCGTTACTAACGAGTGCGCGACGCTAATTATACGTCACCGAGAACTCTGCGACGTGCACACGTACCGTTGATATTTGCGTGCGAGACGACGATGGAACAAACACAGGACGAATTTGAACGAAGTTCTGCTTCCGCGTTGCGCGCCCGCCACGACTGGCCGCTCTGTTGATCTCTCCGCGTATCGAAGCGCGCAATACTTCGAGAATCGAAGTATCGAATCGACTCGCGCGGCAAAGCGCGCTATTGGCCGCGTTCACTTTTCTGCCACTTGGTCGACGAGGGCGCTGTTTATCTTCATTACAGCGTGAAAATAGCGACCGGCAGTTCATGATATCACATTGTCAAAGCAGTGTGGGAATGGTGGTGGGATCGTCTCATTCTGTTTCATTCGTGGACGAGTATTCGTGGAAGTGCACATATGTGTGGAAGTTGCTCCGTAGATCGTCATAAATATGTGCTGTCAAACTAACCATGCCGAGACGTGTTAGTCATCGTGAGAACTAGATTCGTCGACGATCAATCAAAACATGGTCTCGATCATTAAAAATCAGTTGCTGAAACACTTGTCCAGGTATTTTACCCGTTCGTGTGATCGCGAGTTATTAACCTGAAGTGGACGACCTTTGCGATTCAAGTGATAAAAAAATTGCACTCTCCATGAGTCACACGTAGTCGCAATACGTTTCCCTGCGTTGTTTTTTTATCTTCGAAATCATCTGTCTCCTCGTGATCATTTGATTTTTTTTTTCCCTAACACATCTTGCGCTATTCTAACAGCAGGCATTGGCCGGTAGTTCATAGTTTGCACTTGTAATTAAGACGTGAGAGTTCGTCTTGAGATGCTGTGCGGGCCGTCTCATTGGCTACGCACTATCTTAAGATAAAACTTGGGACACAATCATCTCACATAGAAAAACGAACTATGAGCATCAGCCATAGGCATTTGCACATAACAGCTGAAAGTAATGAGAGAAAGTCCTCTTTTCCCTTTTTTTTTTTTTCATAAGCAATGCACTTTCATCATAAGTCATTGACAGATTTATTTCCTATTCCTACTTGTCAGAGTGAAAGTTTGTAAATAGCTGCAATATATGTACATATATGTGTGTACATCAATATAATAATTTTTATAGATGATATTTTTATAGATATATTTTTATAGACTTGAATCAATTGTAACATATATGTTAACAATAACAATACTCACACTAATATAATTAGCTATATAGTTAGCTTTTTATTGTGTCCTTGTGACAATGACTAATAACTGATGGCAATGACATGTATACATAGAGAGAAAAAAAGAGAGTTTGATATTCTTATAATATTCATATTGTAGGTTTACCAAGAATTTGTCTGCTGACAAGATAAATTTGAGCACATTTAAAGGTGAAGGAGAATTGACAAATTTGGAACTTGATGAAATAGTCCTTACTGATTTACTAGAGCTGCCATCGTGGTTAAGATTAACTAGTGCTTGGTGCAACAAGGTTTCATTTCGCATACAATGGACCAAACTAAAAAGTGTTCCTATCTTTTTGGTAAATTATAGTTTAACATTTACATATCAAAAAGGCATAATTTTTATTCTTATTGAATTAGGTTAGGTTATAAATAAAGTTGTTGTGTTAGTCATTTATTAAGATGCAAGTAAAGTAATTCTGTTAAATTGTTATGTTTGCAGAGTTTGGATGAGGTCCATATAGATGTAGAAACATGTGAGGACCTGAGAAGTATGTCTTCCCCACAGGGTATGTCATCATATGCAGGTCCTGCAAAATATTCTTTTATACATAAAGTAATTGATGGGATAACAGTAGCTGTTAACACTGTATTAGTTACATTTAAAAGTCCTGCATTCATCGCTTCAGTTCAGGTACGATATAAAAACCAAAAAAGATGCAGCACAAGAAAATTAATATGCAGTATATTTGTAAAAATACACTTGATGAACACTTCATTTAAAACTGCATTGCGTTATTTAGATGAATCGGATAATGGTGGAATCCAAGTCAGCAACATGGCAGCGTTGTGATCTCAGAACTACCAGATTAAAAGATCCCGATCGAGGACAGTTACTTATCTTTAAGGAGTTAGAATGGCAAACCGTTAGAATAGAGGCTCAAAGTACTAAGGATAAAAATCTGACGCCACTTCGTCTACTTACAAATCAAGCGAGATGCAGAATTACTATAAAGAAGAGAATTTCAGGTTTGTGTAAATTTGAATACTCGACGAATATGCGCGATTTGCGTCATTATTTTATTTATTTATTTTTTTATTTTTTTATCACTTTGCAGATTGCTTTGTCATGGGCTCCAGGCTGGTGATCATACTCGACGATCTTTTGTGGGTGCTAACGGATTCGCAGTTGAAAGCTGCTCTCTTGTTCCTCGATTCTTTGGGGGGTCTCATCGAGAAAGCCACCATTCTCGAGAGAAAAACGAAAGCTGCAAGAAAATTAGAAGTTCGTGCAGTTTATTTAAACCTAAATTTATTTTTGATTTGTAACAATTTTACTGATGTATCTTTTGTTTGTTTTGTAATTTAAGGTTTTACCGGAATATCAGGCTCAAATATCTCAACAAAGTAGAACAAAAAATCAGTACAATTCAGCGATATCAAAAATATTTACGAGATACGATGTTGTAGAGACGTCTTATCATTTTCTTTCGCAACGTATTGATCTTCATTTGTGCGACGATGCCGGCGGTGAGTTCGAAAATGACGCGTATGTGCGAAATACAATAGTTCTTATATTTTTTATATCCATCTTTTCTTACCAACAGGCGGTAGATCGTTATATCCCGAGCTGAAGGACGGCGGCGCGTTGCAAATTTCTTTAGTTAAATTTCAAATAGATTATTATCCGTATCACCTGGCCATGGCGGACAGGAAGCACTGGGCGAAATACAAGGAAAATGCTACACCCCACAGCCAGTGGTTGCAACAGTCGTTGAGCTCGTTTCGAACTCAGTTTATGGATCTCATAGATTCCAGTAGGACGCAACATTCTCCTCTAACAAGAAGTCAAGGAAACGTGACAAGTTCGTGTGCCATGTAGAACTACGTTAACATCCAATATCCAACGCGATTGAAGAATGCTAGAGAGAATCCGCATATTACCTTTTTGATTCTATTTGGAACAGGTGGCGGTGCAAAAAGCTCTGGGGAAAATGCGGAGAAGAGCAATCAGAATCAACAGAATCCGAACGCGACTCCTGCCGAGCCTAAGAAATCTCAGCATCCCAGTGGCAACCCGGTGAAGAATTACGTTTTGGAACAGCTCGCCAAACTAATGACAACGTGCATTATTATCAGGATTGACGACTTCACTTTGTACAAAGTGACAACAACGTCGCGCAACCCATTACCGAAGGAATTTATCACCGGTAATGTATATCTCTGATAATTATGCGTTCGGTTCATTTATTTATCTAATTTTTTTTTTATTGAAATACATAGTCCGGTTTCAATAATTTTGTTTTATTTAACAATTGCACAGCTCAAACGAGGAAAAAGCATACGCCAGGTATAACAGATTCGTAGTTAGATCGTAGTATATGTGTAAGTGTAGTGTTGCGCACAAACAGTTTGCGAAATATTGAATTTGATTATTTTAATCAGTAGCTTTATTTTTGCCCCAATTTTAAGATTTTATACATATTATATGTATTATAAAACTTATATATATTTTAATTTGAAATTAATATACAATTCAATATGTAATGTGTGCATTAACATCGAAAAAGATATTGATATTACATATTATTTGCAACTGTTTCTTAACTTTTTTATCGTTTAAAAACTACATCATAGTACATGAGATGTCAGTCTAATACAACAAAGTATTGCAACACAAACTCATCGCATGTATGAGACCAGATCTCTTTGGAAGTTGAATTGTTTTCAGAAATATTTACTTGAGGTTTTTTTAGGTGATCGCGACAGGTTCAGTCTTCCAGAAGATGTAACGATACTTCATGCCGAGTTTACTTATTACTATTATCCAGGAGACATTACTTTTCCATGTAAGCAGACGTGCGCATTATTATTTTTATTTTTTGACTTCAACACATTTTTGAATGACATCCGATCTTTCAGTGCCACCGCCTAAGTTTTATGTGCAGCTTAATCCGATTCAAGTGAATTTTGACGTTTGTTCGTGTCTTTGGTTCAATTCTTTCGCGCTGAATCTTCATCACTCTCTCATGGGAAAAGACAAGCAATTGAGCTCTTCGCGACTGATGTACTTTGACGTAAAAATAGAGGCTATACTTCCAAGAGTAAGTTAACACGTGACGGTTTATATTGCAAATTTGCACACATTGTCGTATTTTCGTTTGTTACCAAATATTTTTGTTTTCAGATAGTTTTTGAAAGTCAACAGGATTATCCGAATCAGAAAGACAGACCGAAGTCTCTGCATATTCAAACATCGAGAGCATCCATAACGAACGTCCGATCAACTGAGAGATCCTCAAAAGCGGATTTGGCACAGTGCCTGAATGCATTTCAGATGGGACAGATGTTTTTTGGCGCGGAATTTCCAAGTAAACCGGGAGATTTTCACGTGGTAACGGAGAAATTTCTAGCGCATTGCGGAGGTATACATTTGCTCTCTCGATTCTGCGAACATCGATATCATTTCTGTAAGATCGCCTCTTTGTCGACCTTCTGCATTCTGTTTGTTTTCTTTCTCAGGCACCGACAATATAAAGCAAACGCCGCCCAATTTCAGCAGCAATTCCGTGAACGAGCTGCTTCGTCAGCTGAATCGGGAGCTTTTATGGACGGAGGCGAAGGACGTGTGGTGTTGCAATTTGGAACCTGTGTGGGGCGATTTTCTCGGCGCGCGGGCCGTAGGTCAAAATCGACCCGTGCCGTTTCTAGACGCGTTTCCTCTGACGTTGTGGTGCCATTTCACCACAACGAACTCGTCGTCGACCACGGAGACGTCTTCAAGCGCCGATATTCACGGGCTGGCGTACATAAGCAATCTAGTTAGCGTGCAGATAAATCATTACCAGTACTTGTTTCTATTGAGATTGTCGGAGATACTCTCCGAGATGGCTGTTTACTTGGCTGTGGATTCGAATAAGATCTTGAAAGTCGAGAGCGGTGGATCGCTGATCATAGGAGCGTTGATACCGCAGGTCGAGGTGACATTTGTGATGCCGTCGCAAACACCTGGCAAAGAAAACTCGGGCGGTGATTTGGAATCTGTCGTGCCCGATTCGTCCAGTATAGCAGACGATATCGTTGGCTCGTCCGCAGTCGTCATGGGGAGCGGGCGAATCGATTTTAGCGCCAAGAGAATGAACACAAGTAACGACGTAGAGACACCTCAGAGCGAGGCTTCATCGATGCTGTCGATGGATTATTCGCACTCCGTGCCGGCGTCGCAGCCGGTTGTCACTTTCAAGCAAAACGGCACGAGAAAAGGCAATGAGGAGCGTCTAGCGAATACGATACATCACACTCTTCGATTAGAACCACAAATGGCAGAAGTCAGGCAATTGCCGCAACATTTGATCGGCGTCGGCGACGAGAGGAAACAAAGCGCAGAAGCTGCGCAGAAACATAACAAATCGGATTCAAACACACCTTTTATCCCAAATAATTTCAATGTTAATCTCTCGTCCATGAAAAAAGGACTCAGCAATCTGATGACATCGATTGATTTTTCGGCTCTGAAAGCCTCCCCGGAGGACGGCAGTAGCGACACGGTGTCAATAAGAAGCGACGTTAGCTCGGACAGTGAGAATTACGTTCTGGTGAGTCTTCAGGATCAGGGAAAATTCGACGCGCTGTTTGGCATTGATAATACGATTCGAATAACGACAGTGGAAGAAGCGACCGAAGTGGTGGAAGAAACACCGGATACGCAGAGTGAAAGATCAATGGACAGTGTATGCAAGAGAAAAGATATCGTAAGTAATTGTGAAAAAAAAAAAACAAATATCTTTCGGTGATAGTAGGAAACGGTCAAAATAAGAATTTTTTCTCCTCTGCAGGTTTCGATAGCAACGTTCAAGCTGTCGAAAGTCGAACTTATACAACAGTCTTGCGGCTATTCGTCTGTCATCAAAGTTCAAGTTTCTAACATCGACAATGACGAGTGCTCGTCCATTCCTTGGGATGAATTTCAGGTAAGCTAAATTTATGTATAACTTGAAAAGTGATTTACAAAATTATATACATATATATATCTATACATACACGTTATGCTATTATACAATAACATGTTTTTTTTTTTTTTAACAAAGTTTATTCTTAAATGTATACTGGGATGGAATTTCTTATCTTCTTTATTTTTTTTTACTATGGAATTTTTGTTGTCTTTTTTTTTCACATAATTCAGCTTATCAAACTGTGCTACATAAATGTTTACAATCTCTTTAGAAAATAAGATTTATTTGACGTTAAACTCGAAGACGTGTAAAATCTACACTACTTCTCTCGGATGTAATATTAAAGTTTATGACTGCGGTAAAGTTTTATGTTTTCACAAAACATTGGTAGCGTATTTTAGTCGTGATAAAAAGTTACTTCTTTCTCTTTCTCTCTCTCTCTCTGTGCATTACCGTAACGAAGAAAGACAATGCATCAAAGTTTTATGACTATAAGTTGTATTAAAAAACATGTTTTTCTACTTGTATATCTATTACATATTATAGTACATATATATATTTGAAATAGCGAGTTACTTATGCATAAGCTAATGATACTTGAGTAGTCTCGCAGTAATTTGCTCATTGTTTTTTAATATTACATACATATATATATATATATATATATAACTACTTGATATTATAAATGTATAATCATACAGAGTTTTGTCTCTTAACTTTTTTTGCATGCCTCTCCCGCGTCTCTCCTTCTCTTGTGAATGTTTTTATGTGGCACTTGTGGCAGGTCAAGAGAAAGGTATTCGCAATATTTCATTCATACATTAATTAAACTTTTAGATACACTGTACTGTATATATATATATAAAACCGCATGCGTTTGTGCTGTGCCAAATTACACTGTTATCACATTACATTGATGGATTTCGTGGGAATCCAAGTATGATGATAAAGTCTCACTAATATCTTTTAACGACGTAATAGTAACTTTTTTATTGCAAATGCGCAAAGGCACATGGTTTATTGTTGGCAGATGCGAATTTCCAGACGAAGTCGGCCGGATGTTATTTAAGTAGTAATTTACGTATGTGTAAGAATTATGTTATTTCACCATTTGTGTAGCAACGACGACCGAAAGCCAAGCGATTATATCAAATGTTTTACCGTCGTTTTAGTAATTTTTCCATATTTTTTGACGAAGTAATTTTACGAGTTTAGGAGATGGAGAAAAATTTGATTTTCTCTCTCGCTTCTAGTTTGTATATTTCTCACGCAGTTGACACAAATACATAAGTTTGAGACAATGATTAGATGTAGGTGAAACAAAATGTGTACGGCACGATATCGATTCTTGATTTTTCTCGCATTGAGCTTTGCAAGTGAACGGCAACGTGGTGCTAGGCATTGTGGATACACGTGTTGCTTGTTTTGTGCATTGTTATGGCTACTAATAATGCTTTTTTTATTAGACATGCATAAAATCGGAAATTAGTGCATTTATACGCTTTTGCATCTATATATATATATCTTTGTAACTTGTGTGCTAAATAGTTCGATTACCAAAGTGGCGTTTGAAATTTCTTCTCAATATATTTAATGTTTAACACGTTTTTTTAATAATTTTTTATAAATTTAATAATTGCGTTTCTTCAATTCTCTAAATTAAAGTTGATTCTACAAATTGCAACTGATCTCGTGACTCTCAATTAACGTGCGAATATTTTATCTAATTTCGCAAAACATTACAATTTGGCAATAAAATAAATGTAAGCTCAATATATTTAAAAGAAGAAAAACACTATTATGGTTGTTTTAGTTTCAAAACTTATGTAAATTTAATGCATTCTGTTTGATAGACCAAGTTCAGCTCGCGATCTCGAGGTTGGGTAGAATTACCGTCCGATTCTGACTGCAGATCACGTATTAAGCTACGTTTGGATCATTGTTTGAAAAATGCGGAAGATTCTCGTAGACTTTCGGACGCCGGTCAGAAAGCATCTCAGGATCACGCTAGATTGACCGAGCAAACCGCCATCACAACCGCCGTATCCCGTACGTCCGGCATCAATGTGCATGACAAAGAGAACGTTATGAATTTGTTCGAGGACAAGCTGGAAATGAAAGTCTCTAACATAGCAATGGCGTTGTCGATGAGTTCGGTGACGGGTCTGGCGGATCTGGCCGAGGACGAGATCATACCCAAACCGATTCCCATGCAAGTATGTGACAAAGTGAAACTGGCACTTGGAATGCAATCCTGTGATATTTATAGTTTTTGTTTTGGTATGATTTATCGCAAGTGGGAATTGTGTTATTTCAGATATACTTAGAAAATATATCATTGCGCTTAAACGAAGATCGTCCGCCAAATAACATAACTTCCCCGGGCCCGATCCCGATAGATTTGAACATATCAAAACTCAGGATAGAGCGCGACACGAGCGGCGTGTTTCACATCGAACCGGTTGGTGAGTAACGCTGTCGTTAATAAACAATTACGCGCCCAATTTGTTTCTGCCACTTGCCACAGAGTTGACCACAACCTGAGTTTACACTTAACTTTTCTTTACCGATCCTTATGCGATATTTTTACTCTTAGTTCTTATACATATTGCGCCTGTAAATATTTCATTGTACTTGTATAACTTGGTATATTATATTACATTACGTAGATTGTTACGCGCGCGCAAGTGGCAGAGTTTTTTCTGTTTAAAAGTAATTAATATTATATATTGCATAAATTGTTCTGTGCACCCAGGCGGCCTTTCGAATGTGAGCATTGATATTACACATGTAGACGAGTAGTTTTAGATCTCGCTGCTTCATTATTGCACACGGCTTAAAATATTGTTTAAAAACATGTACATATACAATATGCACATATATATATATATATATATATATATATATATATATTGTATGTATATATGTGAATAGAATATTGGTTGTACATTTATAAAAGAGAGTAAGCATGGAAGTCATGTGCACAAGAAAACTGGATAATTTATCAAAATATTATACTTCTTATTTCTCATTGTTATTAATCTTTTTTTGATACATTTTACATATTATTTGACTCATAAGAAAAATTCATATAACTTTTATACTGCACATATATTTGACATTAGTATAATCTACATCTTTTTTTTTTTCTATTACATTATAAATCATTTATGTTTTCTTTTATTGAATCTATTTAAAAACAAAAATCTACAAACAATTTTGTATTTTTTTGTTTTTGTGTTTTCTTCTTGGACTTCATAATTCGTAACACACATCCGGTTGGATCAACCTGAGATTTCCTTTTTCTAGTAACTCCAATAGACGAGAGCCATTTGAACGTGGCGTTATCGGGCGATAAAAATCACAAGAATGCGGAGTGCGAGATGGAATTGAACGCTCTACGACAATCTAGCAGACAATTAAAAATAGACAATGAAGAATTGAGACGTCGCATGGGAGCTCTGGAAAGACTGTCGGAGGAAAACGCGAAACTGATGCGCGCGAAAGAGGAATCGGATATGATAAAATCCCGTTTGAGCGTCGCCGAGGACGACATCGCTAACCTTCTGGAAGAAAAGAGAATCCTACACGAGACCATCTCGGAGCTGCAAAGGCAAAGACTGGAAAGTGGTTCCGGAGGTAGTAACAGAACTTCGTGGTCTATTAAGAGATAGCACACCAGTTGTTTCGATTGTTCTAAATGTTGCAGTTCCAATAAGTCATAAGTCATTTTATTTCTTCCCTATATCCACGAAAGAAAAGTTTTTTTTGATACATTTACGATAAAAATTACATGAACAATAACGCGACTTTTTTTTCTTCATTATTTTCTCGATATTTTTTGTCTTTATACATAGATTAACATGAGTTGAATGATGCTTGCTTGTTAATTATTTTGGAAATATTACAAGATCCGCAAATTTGTTTTTTAAACGCATTACTCTGCCGTACATTACATTAGTAACTGCCATTTGAGTATTTTGCTTAAAACGAAAATCACAATAAGAGTTACATGAATTTCGTGTGTGACGCGAACTTAAACGGAAGATGATATCAATTTTCTTACTACGATAGAGTGTGCAAGAGGATAAACTGCACTATTAATTAAATGATTTTGTTTTACACGTATATAGTTGGACATTAGTATTTCGGGTTTTTTTTTTTTTTTAATTTTTGACAAGTGATAAATCGCCTGTATATCCGCTTTTTTCAAAGTAGTATGACTGAAAGTTACATATTGTATATATTCTACGCATAAATTTTGTTACATATCTATACATATGCTTGATATAATATAGATATATGGCATACATATCCTTCTAAAATAAAGTGTAGTAGATATAGAATACTTCTGAACAAAAAAAAACGAAAGAATCTGTAAAATTGACAAAGACATCTGTTTAGTTCTCAATTTTAGCGCGGTGAAGTCTGTTGGTCAGTGTGTCAAAAAGTGCTTGTGTCAGAATATTTCAGAGGGATATGCGTGCGCACATATCGCGTGAAAGCAAAAGTCGCGCTAGTCAATACATCACGATTATATGCATATTGGTTTGACTTTCTGATTTATTATAGGTGATTTTGTGCATGTAAATGGTCCATGAGAGCGTTTTTGTAAAGCACAAAAAATTGATTTCGACTACAAGCGATGCAAAACATAGCAATGTATACTAGTTGGAGCCTACAGATAGACTGTTCCAAGTGGGAATTGTGACCTCATAATATCGCATTTCATCGTATACATATATACAACATACATAATTTTCTAATTGACTGATTTAAATAGTTCATCGCGAGTGATGAAAATTATAATAATAATAACAATACACACGCGGTGTGTGTATGTATGTGTGGGTGCGTGCGTGCGTGCGTGCATGCATGCGTGCGTGTGTGTGTGGGTGCATTACGTGATGGAACGTTCCAATAAGACTGTATAAAATTCGGAGATATTGGTTTAATAATAGTCGCACTCTAGAGCCCTCGCAGGGCACTTTGTATAAAAACAGCCAGTTGTTTCGATGAACTTTTAGAGAAAGAGGAATTGTGAGATTCGACAAAAATCGACATACGGTTCTTGGAACGCAAATCCGTCAGTTGTTGGCAATCGGTCCCGGATAATAGCTTTTTTAGAGTTTGATTTCGATAAGAAATTTAGTTTCTACTGATGGATTGCTGGCCGATCCTAACATACAAACGGAAAGTATTTTTTTAGCGCATGCGACGAAATACACACGATGCAATTGAAGTTTCTTTCACAATGTGTATAAATTTCCGCTCTGAGTGTATACATCTCTTATAGATATGTATTTCCATTTGTACACAGTTCCAAGAGGTGCGCGTTCCCTTGACAAATATTCTCTAACGAATCTAAAAACATTGCGACAAGATATCGTTTACGTTTCTGTGTGATGATGTACAGTATTGTTTAAAAGATAGTGCAATAAGATTCTGGTTACCTAATATTTGACCAGCGAACGCGATGGCCGAAGTTGTTATGACAGAAATGTTGCAGCGTAGAGAAAAGAAGAAGAAGCAAAAGTTTTTGTTACTTCAGGTTACAGATAAACTTTTTATGATGCACATATCATACATACGTTATAAAACTTGTGCTTACATATATATAAATATCTTGATAACAGTATACTGCAAAAACAAAATCATTTTTGCAGTTTGATTTAATTATTAATGATATTTTTTCACGTCTGATTTAAGTCAACTTCCTCAAGTTTGTTCATACACGATTCCTTTCTCAGAAACTTAACTTACGCATTAGTGCCACACACGTTTTCATTGCGTGTAAGAGAATTGTGCTAAAGTTATTTTAAATCTTTAGATTTAATTGCAAAGACTTTATTTGTTTTTAGGAAATAAACTCGTATATATTACGTTTTGATATCATATGTTATGGAGAATTTTTTATGTATACTTTTCAAGTTTAGACAAAGGTTGGTTCTTTCTTCCAGTTTTTAAGTTGTATGTTTATACACATAAGGGCGCTTTAATAATTTATACCAAATATATATATATAAATACATATAGTAAAATAAAGACATAATCTAATTAAACAACTGCAAGTGCTATGAGTAGAACTGTGTATCGAAGGAAATTGCTTTGTGAAACACAAAGCCTAAGACATTTTATTCTTCCTTTATATACTTTTAGACAATTAGTTATATTATGTAACAGAATTAGATTAGATCTCGTTTATTACATGTAATATATTTATACAAACTTGAGGAAGTTGACAAACATGATGGACTATTTGTACAATAATTTAACACTACCACGTGGTTAAAAAAAAGTATGTTTTACAGTTATATGTGTTAGAATTATTTAGATTTTATACAAAAAAACCATATGTGCACGCGTTAAAATTTTATGTATACCGTATGTGCACACTGACGGTTTTTTATGATACATATATTTCTATATTGTTGAATTTTTAATATGTTGTTACTTTTTATTTTAGCCTTGTATGGTGTGCAAATCTCGAATTAATACGTTCGCGTCGAGTTTGACACTGTCACAGCGAGATAAGATTCCTTGCGAGGCAACGTGTTTGATTCCATATCTAATACTTGCATAACTTTTGCGCTAGTTACTCTAGTTAGTAATATTTCAAAAACAAAAAACAAAAAATGTCGCATACACGTGCATATATATATATATATATATATATATATATATACACACACAAATAAAATGCAATACATATGTACGTATGTGTATGTCGCATCTAAATATATATTATATAATAAAAATTAATCATGCAATTTACGCGTGAGTAACGGTACCATTTCGTAAATTGATATCGTGTGTCAGAGCGATACTAATGTGATCACACAGTCTGAGATAACGATACGTGCAGCCATAATTTACGAAATGAACCTATTTTATATATATTAGCAGAAAATAATAGTGCATATTTCAAAAATTGTCACTTAGAATATTAAAATACTAAGAAAGTCCTAAAAAAAAAATGGGTTGTGCAATTTCCAACTTGTTCGAGCGAGAAGAAGCGGGAAGCAAAATTGATTTGCAACAAATGTTTGTGCCGTGTTTTTGCTGTTTATTCCCAGCAGCTTGTTTTTATTGCATAATGTGTTGTAAAATAATTATCAGATGATTTAACTGTGTTTTACACGATTATACAACAGAACGGGAATACGCCCAATGTCATTCAACGTACAACTTATTTGCGAATATTATTGCATAGCTTTAGTTGCTTCTTGAATATTATACAACAATACATGTGGCATATTTGGGTGAAATGTTTTCGCTAACTGTATATTTTAGAATAATACGTTAACAACAAGATGTAAAATGTGTTATTGTGATTAGTAACGAAGATATTAGCGTGTACGAATTATTATTTTATACGAATATTTGGCAATATGCGTACATATATATATATATATATATATGTGTATATCACATTTTCAAGTTTGTATTGTGACAATGACGTGATGCTGTTGTTAGTTCGATGTGTATTGACAACAAAAAATTGTACGGATAAAAAAAATTCAATAATTATATCTTTTTTAGCTTTTGTGGGATTGACAAAAGTGATAGCCAAAATGTAATTTTATCTCTTTAAAAAATGTAAAGAGACTAAAAACATAACTTTCTCAATAAAGTTATTACAAAGTCGCAGAGAAGATAAAGCGAGATCCTATTTTATGTCCGTTCCACTGTCTACTTCCTTTATTGTATTATTTTTTAAATTATATTATTATTTAATATGACATATATATATGTGTGTGTGTGTGTGTGTGTGTATAATTTAATTATTAAGTAATTTCACTATAGAGAGCATCACATTTTAGTTTAAATAAACCGCCGCAGGAGCAGCATACGCAACCGAAGTCTGTGACTAATTACACGCTGTCAATTATAACATATGTTTAATATAAACCATGTGTTTGTATAAAATGTATATCTGACTCACGTATTTGATACACGATGATTAATCGCAAATTGCGGCGGGAAACGAAAATTAATTAATTTGCGAGAGAAAAACACAAGGTCTAAATACATTTTGTACGAGAATTGAGAGAAAAGCCCCGAATAATTTTATATAAAATGAAACGATATCACGTGTGCGTGATGTAAAAAGGAAATAGAACGATATACAAGTAAATGCGACACCAGTTCTAACTCGCCACTTATAACTGACGCGCGTTTCGCGCCGCGCATGCGCCAAAGAATCGGAGCTCGGTGCGGACACTGACGAGAATCGTGCGAGCGGCAGCACACCACGTCGAGGTAATTGACACCGATGATCGGATTCGACTGAGCGAATTCGTGTTTGGATTTGGATTTTGTGTGTGCGGCAGAGCAAGGCGACCAAAAAAAGGAGTCACCGTGGGATTCGCAGCTGAGCGAGGTACGTAAACCACAACACAACACACTATACACAACCTGGAATAACACGCGAAAAAAACGGGAGCCAAGAGTGGCTCGAAGAGTGGGATTTCTCAATATTGTTGTGCTCGCGTGGAACGGCCCGATTCGCGAGCCGACTTACAGTTTCAGTTTGGCTGTAACGCTTGTCGTTAGTTTGTTGCCAAGAAGTATTTCGATTGAACTGAACGCAAAACCGATCTCTCTTGCTCCGATTGCAATCATGTTCCGTACAAAATGGTAAAGTTCGTCCATTCCCACCTTTTAGATAAAACGCGCAAATTTCAATTGTTTGAAGCGCGTGAAGTTTTCGCAACAAAATCGATTTTTGATAGCCATTAGCAGAATTACAAAAACCGTCTGATCTCTCTGTTTTTTTCAGCAAGGAGCACGATCACTCATCGTTTTACAAGTTCTTACAAATGGAGCACAACCATAAGAATCTAGACTGCTACTTCTTCTACTATTCTACATGCAAGAAGGTAGGTGAATCCATTCGGGATTAATCGAAGAGCTTTGCTCTCATGTCGCATTGATTTCTATTTGATGTTGCTCCGAAAGTTCGTGATTGTGCCATATTGTGCCGACGATTCGCGAGATCGTCGAGGTTAGGTCAGCCATTTTGATGCCATGTTGACAGAAATTTCTGAACTATAGAGTTTGAATAGAAACGTGTATGTATGTGTGATGTAATTTAATTTGACTATCATATTTGCTAAATATAGGAATTCCTTACATTTATTGTATATATATAATATATTAATTTTTTATACCATTTGATGATTTACTTACAAATGCAGATATCTTGCATAAATTATTATATTATTACATATATATAACCTCATAGAGCATATATAACAAAGCAAATATATTTATCTAAGTATGTGCATGACTATGTTATTTTGTTATTTTATTATATGCACATAGATAATTTATTCTGATGTTTACGAAACACATTATACGATAAAGACATATATTGCATGGCGTCATATACTTATAAAAATACTGGATGAATATTATTTAGTGCAATATTTCAGAAACATTTATATACAAACTATACTACTGTATTGTTTTGATTTGTCAAATGCAGTATTTAATATTATATTTTGGTACTGCAAATATAGTATATACAATATTCTTTTGTACTTTTTCTAGATTATGTTTATTTGTTTCAATTGTTGGACACTTTTGTATTTTTAAATTTCTGTTTTTATAGGGTGACTTCTGCCCATATAGACATGAACCGGCTGCTCTGGGTTGTGAAACTATTTGTACATATTGGCAGCAAGGAAACTGCCTCAATGAACATTGTAATTTCAGACATATGGAGTTAAAGGTAAATTATCTTCATAATATGCATATTTTTCTGCATTTGTTGGACTTGCAATGTAATTTGTGTTAATAAATTTAGAAAAATCGCAAATCAATCCCCTGTTATTGGGAGAAACAACCTGGAGGATGCAGAAAGCCACATTGTCCATTTATGCATACGAGTCCACGTACAATTACCAGTGATCCAATCACTCCTGTTAAGACCACAGAGGTAGCAACCAAGTCTCCGAATCAGGAATGGCTCAATCGTCAAGGTAAGTCCCATTTACATTTCGAAAAAATTAATTGTATTAGAAAGCGACTAAGTAATGATTATCGACGAACGTTCTAACTCTGCTTTATTTTGTAAAGATGATGCAAAGTACGACGGCAGTAGTACTACCGAATCGGACCAAGGTAGAGGAAACAGCGAAGCCGGTAGTTTTATCGGCAGCCCCGCCGTCGACCCTCTCATCGTTAAATTTGAAGAAGGTATGAGGCTTTACTAGCCCCCCCGTCCATCTTTCAACGTACATTATCTTACGTCAGCTACTCTCTCTCTACCGCATAGCTTGCAAACAAATATGAATCTTCCGAATGCGCTCGGTATCCCGAAGAGCCTGACGATCCCCAACAATCCTAACAGTCTCAACATTCCCGGTAACATCAACGTCACAAACAACATAAACATCCCGCCGCCCACCAACTCACAATCCTCTCCCTGCCATCACACGATATCGTATCCGCATCATCAGCAAAATTTACACACGCATTCCCCGGGGCAGTCTCTGTCGTCACTGCAAAATCAACAGAGCTCCCCGCTCCTCCAGCAACCGCCGTACACGCCGATTCACTCGCAGCAAACTACACAGCCTCAGACCTCCCGATTTCCCTTCCCGTTTCTCGGTATAACGTCGTATAGGAGATTCTAAAACAAACAAATAAAAAAAAAAAAAACAATTTTTGACGGAAGAGCTGCTGCAGTAGTTTTTGCGACGACGTATGTGTATGGTTTTCCTTCGTCCGTCATCCGCGCGACAGAAAAATACTTTCGCAAGAATTCACGTACGTTATTTAAGAACCTTCTAGAGAACTTCACGACGGAGTTTCTGTTGCGTATACATCCTCAAAATAAATAACCTAACGTATTTCGACAAGAAAAAAAACCTCCGAAAAAAAGAAACAATAAAACGATGAGTTATTGCGAAAGTATTGTTCTGCCTTCTCTATAGAAACTGTGTAAAGTAATACCACACACGTGTATATCTTTCTAGTAACGATACGTAACACGGAAGTCTTGTGTCAATCTTAATAAGTGTATAATAATTGATTCACGCCGTTATAGATATATACGTACCATTTCCGACACTTAATCGACCTCCACTCTCTTTGACTTGTGTTTCATCATCGAGTTTTCATTGATCGAGCCGATATATAAGTTGCAACTAATGACGAAAAAAAAAAAAAAATCATTCAAACGCCATTGTGAATCGCAGAGTTTATATCAAGGGTTCTCTTATTGCGGCGATCACGCGGCTTATACACACAACACACACATACACACACACACACACAAACACACACACACACACGAGCTTATTTATGTGTTTCACGACATTCGTGTGTTGTCACGGGAGCGTGTAAATACGGAAAGACCCAAATTTTATCGAGTATCGAGTCGACGCTTTTTTAGAGATTGGCACTTTTAATCGCGTTATAACCAATATCGCCAATGGCGTGCGTATTTAATCTAATCTCATCTGAAACGTTGCATTAATCACGAAAAAAAATTGAATATCGATTTTTGCAGGGGCTGCTATACCTGTAAACTTTGCCTAAAGTAGCCCTCCTAATTGCCTATGGCTATCTTTCTCCGACACTGTGGTGCAATCCGGCTCGAATTATCGGAATGATCTAAGTTAAGAGAAAAACGAGGTTCAAGTTAAGAGAGAGAGAAAGAGAAAGAGAGAGAGAGAGACGAGGAGTTCAAGTGTGTTTCTTCGTCGGTGTATGCACAGCACGATATAATATCGCGATGAAATCGTGCGCGAAACGAAGAAGAAGATAGCTATGGGTCGCTGCTTTACCACACACACACAAAACCAAAAAAAAGTTTTTGCATTCACACAGATCTACATATATATATATACATATTGCTTGCTCTGAGCTGCGAAAGATCCGAATATTTATCATGTTAATAATCCGACTTGTAACACGACGAGTGAACCCTGCTCATCATCATCTTACATTTGCGTCTTTGATGTGAGAGAGTGCTAGCGCGCATCTAGGAAATTGATTTTTAAATATTATACCCAGATGCACACACACACATACACACAGACTTGCGTTACGTTCCCGACCTAATGTGTGACCGATCGCAGGAACATTCGAGGTATATATACATATATGTAGCGTACAAATGTCCGTTTAACTGACATATATATACACATGTATAATATGTGTACATATATATCCGTCTAATATAAAGGAAAGAAAGAGAAGACCTATGCGTTTTATCGGTCACGTTTTGGGTTGAGATAAGTGCAATGACGAGAGTGATAAGAAATAATTGAGAGAGAATTATGTCCGAATACAGCATGTATGCTTTCTTTGGTATCATGTATTTTATTACTAATTATTATTATTATTATTAATATTATGTGCGTGAGATTGTGAAAGAGAAGAAGGGAAAGAAATTGAAAGTTAGAACGAAAGAGAGAAAACGGTAAGAATGTGAACACGGTGGAGAGAATGTGTGAGTGATTGGATTAGAAAAAAAAAAAAAAAAAAACAAAACAAAAGGAAGAAGAGAGTTTAACGAATTTAATCGAAAGAAAAAAAATAATAAAATATTCACGCGCGAAAAAAAAATATTTATGTAAAAAGATTCCAACCGCGTCCTAGCCTTGTGTTTTACGCGTGCGCGAATAATAATGCCTTCATATGTTTTGGCTTCTCTCACGTGAATTTGATGAGAATCTTCGGGACGAGATCATCACAGATTCTCCCATGCCTGCATCGGACGATAATTGTGCAAATTTTCGCAGGCCACTACGATCCTTGCTACAGGTTTACGGGGAAATTTATAAGAAAGGAGAAAAAATAATTTAGATGCAAAACGTGAGTCTCAAACGACGTCTTTCAACGCTCCGAAAACAAAAATAACAAAAAGAAAAAAAAACGTTCGGACTATTCGGCTGGAGCTTATTTTCCGCGTAACAATGTTAAAATGAGCGAGGTTGTTTGTTGCATGCACATCGAAAAAAAAAAAAAAACAGTAATGACAACCGTCGGGAAAACACAAAATTATTACAGATTCACGTTTTTGACAAAGTTTTTCGTATGCTAATAGGATATTGATTGAGGCGCTAAGAAAACGGAAATTATATAGGAAGTGTGACATTCTAAAAACAAGTGTGTTGACAAACTTTTGTGACACAAAAAGAGTTTTGGTGAGAAAATTTTTGTCCTTGCTTTACAAGCAAGTTCGTTTGCTCTTAGCGCCTCAATTGCTCTGTGTCGCACGTTTGGTCTTGCAGGTCCGTTTATATATATATATATATTATACATATAGGCAAGCGGAGAAAAATTTAGAATATATTTAATTGTATGTTTATTTATCAAATCATATTGATCTTGCACACTGGTAAAAATTTCGATAATCGGAGGAAAAAGTCCCACACGGAGTTAGATATGCGACGTAGGTGATCAACTTTTACAACAGTAATACGTATCGCAAATTATACGGCCGAATCTACAGAAATAAAAAAAAAAGGTGTTGGATGATAGGACGCGAAGTGATATTGAGAATAAAAACTAAATTATTTTCTGGGGGATGTCTCGTTGAGTTTGTTGTTTTTTTTTCCGGGATTTCTTTCGTGCGATAGACACACACTTGAATGATGATGTCGGGCGCGCGTCCTATCGTTATAAAAAAAAAAAAAAAAAAAAAAAAAAAAAACAAAACAAAAGG